CTGTTGCTGGCCCTCCAGAGGAACTGGCTGGCCCCTGTGTGGGACGGGAGGCTGGACTGGAGGGACCCTCCCTGGTCTGACCCAGCAGGGCTCTTCTGATGTCCTTCTCAAGGGAAGGCCTTGGCCTCTATGCCCTGTTGTTGGCCCTCCAGAGGAACTGTCTGGCCACAGTGTGGGACGGGAGGCTGGACTAGATGGACCCTCCCTGGTCTGACCCAGCAGGGCTCTTCCGGTGTTCTTATGACACGATGTAGAGTATTTTAATAGATAAGAGAGAACAGCCGCAGACCGTACCTCCTGAGCCCACAATGTGGGGATTGTAACACCAAGCTGGTCTTGCAGGGTTGATGGGAGTTATCCTGGGAAGCCCTTCTAAGCCGCCAGGTGCGGCTGTCCAGGGTCCCTGTTTCCATGCGGTTGGCCTTAGGACAGGCTTCTTCCTGAGACGCACCTGACGCCTTTCGAAGGAGCGGGCCCTGCTTCTGTGTGGCTCAGGCGGAGCCGGCCGGCCTGCCTTGGTTTGGCTGTGCGTTCCCTCCTGGGAGTCGGGTGGGACGAGGGGGTGAGTTGCCACCATGGCCGGGGGGGGGGAGGCCAGGGGCAGGGGCACGACGAGCCCCCCCCCCCCCCCCCCCCGGCGAGGCCAAGAGAAGCTCCCCCCCTCCGGTGTCCCCAGCAGAGAGTCCCTCTGCACGGTGGTTCAAGGGAGCCAGGAAGTCAGGCTCTGGGACACGGGAGTTTCTCCCCTCTGCAACCTCAGGCCGCAGAACCCTAGAATCACAAAGTTGGGAAGGTCCCTAGAGGCCATCTAGTCTGACCCCCTGCTCAATGCAGGATCAGCCTAGCGAGCATCCCTGACCAACGCTCCCTCTAAGCTGTGGGGTCTCGTGAGCAGAAGTTCTACCCCGTGAGCTGCCGGCATTAAAAGCTGTGAGCGAGCGATTTGGGCCGCTGCGTCAAATCAGTTTGCTCTGGAGCCCTCCTTTCCGAGCTGAGACCAAAAATGTGTGAACCGGAGGCTAAAAAAACCCCTGCGAGCTAGCTCACACTGACTCAGCTTAGGGGGAACACCGTCCCTGACGAGTGCTTGTCCAACTGCGGGCTGGTCTCAGCCTGACCTTCCTCACAGGGTTGCTGTGAGGATGGAATGGAAAGCGATGCACGCCTTGGAGGAAAAGGCGGGGTGAAATGAGACAGGCAGGTGCCTTTGGGGTGGTAGGGTATGCAGCCGAGGGCGCTGTGGAGTTCCGCGTGAAGCGGAGCTCCTGGGGTTAAGGAATGTTCCCAGTAGTTCCATATCGGGCAGGCCACACAGACGGGCACCGTTTTCCGGGCGATGTTCAAGGCCACCCCCGAATGCCCTCCCTGCCCGAGAAAGATCTCCTGTTCTGGTTGGGGTCAGCCCCCAGTTTGAGACACTGAGCCCCCCCCCCCGAGATTGACCCCTCTCCCCCCCC